ATAGTGAGACAAACTAAACCTTTCCTCTTTGCAAGCTGATGATCTCAGGTTGGTGATAGTAGCAGAGAGCTGACTAACACAATCTGTCTCTTGTTATTTTTTTAAATTCTCACCAGCAGTGTAAGTGACTGTCGCCTCCTCCCTAGACCCTAAGGCAGCTATACCTGGTTTGGAACTGTCAGAATTCTACCTTCACAATGTCATCTGCAAACATGTAATGACACCTGTCTCCACACTGATGTAATTGTAAATGCGGCCTGGGTTTCAATCCCTGCTGCATCTTAATAGCAATGGTTTGTTGTGCATCTGTCAGCCTCTCAGTGACTCAGTTTCCTGATCGTAAACCAGGCACAATAACATGATCATATCATGTTAGAATCTCCAGAGGATTTTTCTGTAAACTAAATGAATATTTATGTGCAACATAGGAAAACAAAATATGTATCAACAAAATGAAACACTGTTTAATTACATCTGTCAAACTTGCTTTAAGTAGTTTCTTCTTATTTTACTTCTAAAACATATTCCCACGATGTTTAGGAATCTGTTTCAGCAAAAATAAAATTCTTCCCCTAAAGAAACTGCATGATAGAAAAGAAAAAAATATCCTAAATTTTAACTTGTCAGTGAATTTGGCCAATTTCTAACTTGAAATCCTAAGGCCACTAACCTTTGAATTTGATTTTGGATGAGTTTTCAAGTAACACATTCCCAACTATTATTACAGAGAGCAAAGATGGGGGAAATTATGGTCCTCAGAAACATAATTACATTTGGGGCTACATTGGGACTGGGGTTATGGCTCAGTGGTAGAGCACACACCTAGTACGTGTGAGGCCCTGGGTTCCATCCTCAGCACCACATAAAAATAAAAAAGTAAAATAAAGATATCGTGTCCAACAACAACTAAAAAAATATTTAAAAAACCATAACTACTTCTAAACCTTAAGTGCCTGGAAACGATTGATTGGTAAAAGGAATCAAGTGAGAAACCTGGTGCTTTTTCCCACTGGGATGATGGCTACCCAGGAGCAGCTGCCTCCTAGAGGAAAAGACCTCAGGAAGCAGCTGCCTGGACCAGCCCTTCAGGCCCATCCAACTGTGGAGAGGATGTGGCTCAGGAGAGCACATGCACGTGGTGCAGCCGTTCTCAGCCAGGCTGGATGAGCATGCACAACCCCGGGAAGCTGAACAGTGAATTAAAGGCCCAATGAAAACACTCTATTCCATGGGAGCGACTTTCTTCTTGGCATCTGAAGGGTGTCCAAGAGGTACAAGGTTGAGAGAGAGTCACCATTTCCACTTTGCTTCTCCCCACGTACCTAAGGTGCAGAGTTGTGATCATCTGCTTTTCTTTGGTAGAAGGCAGGTGAGAGACTGAAGGAGAAGCCCCTGGCGGAGGGTGATAGCGAGGCAAGCGAAGGGTCTGTTATTAGGGGTGGGAGAGAAGGCAGGAGACTGCAGGCAGGCCTCTGGGGCCTTCTTAGATGGCCACTCTGCCCCATCCTGGACCACAGTGGGAGTTGCCCCCGGTTTACCAGACTCCAGGCACTGGTCACAGTCGCTTGGGTCAGGAGTGTCCTGAACTGAGCTGAGCATCCCCTGTACCGGGTCCTGAAGGGGCTGCTTGTCCCAAATTAGGCAAATCAGATGTTTTTCTTTTTTTTTTTTCCACCAGAAAAGAAAACAAGCAAACAAAAAGCCTTTGGTAGTAGAATTATAATGTAAATAAACCTCAGGGGATGACAGCTTCACGCTGGACAAAGTTCCTCCCCTCTCATCCTCCTGGATGCTCCAAAGCAGGTCTCTGCCTATACTTCCCCTAGCCTCCCTCAGCAGCTCTCTCACATCAGCACCCGTGGCCAGAAGGGCTCTGGGGACGAAGCCTCAGCTGATTGGACACCTCAGAGGACAAGGGAGTTTATGGGCCTGGCTCTCCCGGACCCAACGCTAACCCTGGCCATGTTCCTGAACAAGCAGATGTGGACAGCTAAACATTGATGGAGTGGTGGGCAGCTGAGGAGGCTAGGTAGGGCCCACAGTGAGCGCTCCGTTTGCTCTGGAGTGTAACGAGGCGCAGGTGCACACCACCACATGGGTGTTGGAACTCACTTCACAGCTTGTCTTGCAAAGATGGGGACCTGGGCTAGGAAACCGTCTTCCCAGCCTGGAGCAGAGGGCTCTGAAACAGGAGGTGCTGGGCCCAGCTCTCACACTCCATTTTGAGTGTTAGAGTCGTAGGGACTTGGAGCTGAAGTTTAGATTCTAGTAGGGCAGCCTCAAGAAAATCTTGCAACTATTCAGAAGTATAATATTTGCTTCTAAATTGTCAATTCTTTATTTTCATTGAAACAAGGAAAAAATAGATATCAGAAAGACTTTTTGTCAATTTCTTTCTCTCTCTCTCTTTCTTTTTAAGGTACTGGGGATTGAACCCAGAGGTGCTTAACCACTGAACAACATCCCCAGCCCTTTTTTATTTTTTATTTTGAGACAGGGCCTCACTAAGTTGTTGAGGCTGGCCTTGAACTTCCTGCCTCAGCTCCACTGAGCCACTGGGATTATAGGCATGAGCCACTTTGTCATTTTTTAACAAGTGCAACCAGTATTCTTTCTCCTCTTTAGGCAAACAGAATGTCACTGCATAAACAACAGGACTCTGAGCTGCTGATACCACCCTACTCACCTCTAACTCATCTCTCACCATGTGGACCTAATGCACAGGGTGGTTCAGAAAAATCACTGTTGCACAGAACTTATACTATCACCATGAATCCGCCTTGTTCTTTGCATTTTGAACAATGCTATCTTTTTCTAGCTGTTTCCAGTAAAGATAATTGCTATGTATATCAAATAAAACTTGAATCCTGAAATATTGTTTCACTTGAAATACAGTATAAAAGAGCAAAATCTTTTCTGTCCTTCAGAAAACCATTCTATCACGAGGTCAAACTACTATGTCTTTTTTTGAGCAAAAATTTTATAACTTGTTTCTTATCTAATTTTTTGTTTCTGAGCAAATCAAGGATAGCTCTCAAAAAAGTCACTCATTTAGAAAAAAAATCAATGAAACATATGGCTAAAACATGGATTTAATAATAATCAATTTAGATAGACCAGTTTTGTTGAGTGATGTGAGTACTAAATACAGTTATCATGGATTTTTAGTAACCCAATTTCAAGCAATATAAAAGTAATTTATAAAGTAGGGCAGGAGAAGGGCAGAGTACATGTATAAGAATAGAGAATGAATTTTTACAGTCACCCTTTTTTGATAGTAAAAGAAGGAGGCCTTCCATAAAGAAAGAATATTTCTCCTGAGGGAGAGGTGGCTAAGGCTGTGGGATGAAAACTGGTGAAACTGTCAGTTTCAGTTTTCTTGTGAACGTAGGAGGCAGAATGAACCCACTTCTGTCATTGAAATGTGAACTATAATGTCACCTATAATGTCAACTATATATATACTAGTGAGCATCAACTACAGAGATGAGCTTCTGTCAAAGTTAAGTGATTTCTGTTGAGAAAATGTTGAACTACTCGGTTGGAGAGAAGTAAGCTGTTTTTCTGAGGTGTGTGTGTGTGTGTGTGTGTGTGTGTGTGTGTGTGTGTGTGTGTGCACTTCCTGCCATTTTATCATATGATTCTGAGATTTAAAAAAACCAACAGGGCTTCAGTCATGCTTCTGGTCATCTGTGCACACACCTACACACCTTGCTGTTGCATATCATATTCATTTATAAAATATATTCCATGGGAGGTTGTGAGTGTAGCTCAGTTGGTAGAGTGCTTGCCTACCATGCACAAGGCCCAGGGTTCAATCTGGAAAAAATTCCATATTTAAGGTGCATTGGAAATGCATCTAAACCCTTCAATACTTTGATAATTGGTAATTTGAAAATAAGTGGGTTATAAATTTACATCAGTATTTTTGTATTGACATTAAATTGAAATAATATTGAAGATAAGAAAACAGGTTTTTTAAAAAAAATCATATCTGATCTCTCTTTAAACTGTGTTCAAATGTCCCCAGGGACACCACATAATATTGTATGACAACTTTTCATTATACCCATGGCAGTTGTTTCTTTACAGAGAAAAATGGAAGAATTCATTAAATTTGTATGTATTACTCCTTTTTCCCTCATGAGCCCCTATAATAGAAAGGGATGATGTATATTGTAATCGGACCTGCATTGCTCATGTCTGTTCAATTCCAATTTTGCAAACGTAATTTTTGAAGTCTTACAACAGCCAAACTCAGTTTAATAACTCGTATTAGATATAAATCATGAATTACCCTATAGGCCTCTGTATGATCAGTTATGCTTCAGGCCTGTGTACAATCTGGACATGAAGTAAATATCTCATTGAAATTGAATGAGGAGGGCTGGGGTGTAGCTCAGTGGTAGAGCACCCGACTGGCAAGCACAAGGCCCTGGGCTCAATCTCACAGTAACACAAAATAAATAAATAAATAAATAAGAAGCAGAATAGGACATATGACTATATTGACTTGTATATCGTATAAGGAGTAGAGTCGTTCAGCATTGTGGGCCTGTCTACATTCATGTGGGCATTGCTATGTAGCTCTTATAGCCTTAAAGACAAATATATCCAATCACATAAAAATCTAATGAAAGAACTTTCTATGAAGCAGTGGGAGAGGCGTTACTATCAACTGAGGGGGCAAGAAAAGAGGTCAAAAGCTATGTAATATCACCCCTAAGGTGATCAGATGAGAATAAGTGCTTGTAACCAAGTACTAGAGACTGGGTAGCTTATGAACAACAGAAATTTATTTCTCACGGTTCTGGAGGCTAGGAGTCCGAGATGAGGGTACCATCCTAGTTTGGTTTTGGTGAGAGCCCTCTTCTGGTTGCAGACTACCTGCTTCCTGCCGTACCTTCGTGCAGTGGGAAGAGAGCATGGGAGGTGGCTGGGTTCCTTTGATCAGGGCACTGGTCCCATTCAAGAGGGCTCTACATTCACAACCTACTTACCTCCAACATCTTCTAATGACATCCCCCTGGGAGTTAGGATTTCAACATCGGAGTTTTAAGAGACACGAATGTTTCACTGAAGGTATTCTGTGAAAGAGACTTGAATAAGTGTTATGGAATCCACTGGAGAAAAGAAACATGTCTTAATTTTTCATTGCATTAAACAGTATGTATTGTAACAGAGGCGATGATCATATGTCATATAGGCACTGGAAAAATCTTACCACATTGTTAAACATTTTTCTCATGTTTTTTTTTAATTGGTGCATTATAGTTGTACACAATATAACAATACAATTTGGCCAATATCATTCCCTTTCTCTCTCCTCCTCCCTCCCCCTGGTCCCTTTCCTCTGCTGTACTGACCTCAATGCCTTTCTTTTCCATTTTCTGTTCTGGCTTCCACATATGGGAGAAGGTGTATGACCCTTCACCTTCTGAATTTGGCTTATTTTGCTTTTGATTTACTGTTTTCAAGTTCCATCCATTTTCCTACAAATGACATCATTTAATTCTTTTTTATGACTGAATAAACTCAATTGTGTACATATACACATTTTGTTTATCTATTGATCCATTAATAAATACTTAGGCTTCTTGATCCATTTATCCATTAATGAATACCTAAGCTGTTTCCATAGTTTGGGTATTATGAATTGTGCTACAGATATGGGTATAGTATGATAACTTTAATTTTTTAGGATAAATACCAAAAAGTGGTATCGATGGGTCATATGGTGGTTCCATGCCTAGTCTTTTGAGGAAACTCCATGCTGATTTCCTTAGTGGTTGTACTAATTTCCAACCCACTAACAGTGTAAAAGTGTTCCTTTTTCTCAACATCCTCTCCAGTATTTGTTATTGTTTGTATTCTTGATGTCTGCCATTATGACTGGGGTGAGATGAAATCTCAACATAGTTTTGATTGTTTTTCCCTAATTGCTAATGATGTTGAACATTTTTTTGTATTTTTCCCCATTCAATTTCTCCTTTTGAGAAATGCCCATTTAGTTAATTTGCCCATTTATTAAGTGGGGGGGTTGATATTAATTTTTTTTAGTTCTTTATATATTTCAGGTATTCATCTTCTGTCAGATGAGTAGTTAGCAAAGATATTTTCCCATTTTGTAGGCTCTTTCTTCACATTCTTGTTTCCTTTGCTATGCAGAGTTTTTTTTTTTTTTTTAATTTGATGCCATCTGATTTATTAACGCTTGGCATTATTTTCTGAGCTTTGGGGTTAAATTGAGAAAGTCATTTCCTGTACCTATATTTTGGAGTGTTGACCATACATGTTCTTCTAGGAATTGCATAGTTTCTGGACTAATTTTGAGGTCTTTGATGCATTTTGAGTTGATTTTGGGGCAGGGTGAGAGAGAAAGGTCTAGTCTCATTCTTCTACCTACAGATGACTATTTTCTAGAGCCATTTGTTAAAGAGGCTGTCTTTTCTTCCATGTATGTTTGTGGCACTTTTGTCAAGGATCACATGACTATAGATGTGTGGGTTTGCCTTCTATTCTGTACCATTGGTCTATGTGTCTGTTATTATGCCAGTACCATGCAGTTTTTGGTACTATAACCTGCACTATAATTTAGAGAAAGATATTGTGATTCCTCCAGCATTTCTTTTTTGGTTTTTAGAATTGCTTTGGCTATTCTGGGTCTTTTCTCCTTCCAAATTAATTCTAGGACTGTTTTTTTTCCCCCAGATCTGTGAAGAGTACCATTGGTATTTTGACAGGGATTGGAGTGGATCTGCACATTGCTTTTGATAGGGTGACATTTTGGCAATGTTAATTCTGCCTGTCCATAAATGTGGTAGTTCTTTACATCTTCTGAGGTCTTCTTCAATTTCTTTTTTCAAGGTTCTGAAGTTTTCATCACAGGGGTCTTTCACCTCCTTTGTTAGATTTATTCCTAGGTATTTTTTGAGGTTATTATGAATGCTATTATTTTCATGCTTTCTTTCTCAGCAGATCAACGATTGGTACATAGAAAAGTTATTGATTTTTGTGTGTTGTTTTTTGTAACTTCCTATTTAGCTGGATTTGTTTACTAACGCTAACAGTCTTTTAGAAGAGTTTTTTTTTTTTGATCTTCCAGTATAGGATCATATCATTTGCAAATGGTAATAATTAGAGTTCTTCCTTTCCTACTTTTTACACTTTTGTTTCCTTCTTTTGCCTAACTGCTCTGGCTAGAATTTCTAGTACTATACTGAATAGGAGTTATGAGAGGGGACAACCTTGTCTTGTTCCACATTTTAAAGAAAATGCTTTCAATTTTTCCCCGTTCACTATGACGTTGGCTTTGGTTTTATTTTTTTATGTAAGGCCTCCTTTATGATATTGATGTTGGTTCACTCTATTCCTAGTTCTGCCAAATAAACATTTTTAATGATGCACATATATGATGAACGAAGAGTGGCATTAGACTTTCATAGTTAAGGCTGTTCCATTGTTTCTGCTACTTGTATTTTTAGGAAGAATTTCAGATGTTTTGAGTACAGTTGTAAAGATCAGTGTGAAAAGATCTCAGGAAACTCCCCCAAAAGTTCATCTTCAAGTTAAATCATCAGATAGAAGCAGGTTTTCAATCAGAAACTCTCTTCATTAACACTGACTTGAAGACCAAAGAGGAACCAACAGTTTACTGGACCCTTATGCTTTGACAAAGATAATCTTCAATGTGAAGAAATAATTAAAAGCCACTGAGGAAACAGGTCATGGTGTATGTCCCAAAGACTCATCGTGTACTGTTGAGTTAATAACTTTTATGGTCTATTCGTCTATTATTTATGACATATATTTCTTTAAAAAATCATAGAAATCTAAATACAAACATTTTAGAACTTGGATTATACCTTGGAAAGGTGTTCATATACAAATTAGAAAGGCTCAAGGACAGAAGCAGCACACAACTCATTTCACAGGGGGCCATGGGGGAGCTTCCCCTAGAGAGTGAGAAAGAACCATCAAATGAGTGAAGTCATGTTGTTAAATTAGTAATGCCTGTGACTCAATTGTGACAAATGTCTCACACACTCAATGTTGTACAGATTATGGACTCAGATTTGATGGGATAACACTTTGCAAATATTACATAAGTTTTTTTTAAATCCCTCTCCTTAGTAAATCATGTTCCCTAGCAATAACTTTACATCTATTGTCTTAAAGAAGCAGGGCATCACCAGGTTTGGCGGCACATGCCTGTAATCCCAGCAATTTAGGAGGCTGGGTCAGGAGGATCACGATTTCATAGTCCCAGCAACTTAGCAGGGCCCTAAGCAACTTAGCAAGACCCTTATAAAACATAAAAATGGATGTGGCTGAGTGGCTAAGTATCCCCTGGTTAAAATAAAATTAGAAGAATAAAAGAAGAAGGAAAGAAGAAGCAAGGCATTGCTAACACCAACTTCAAATTAAAAAGAACAAGAGGCCTGGTAATTCCCCATCAGACTGGAAGAGGAAACTCTTCTTGGTCATGGCAGATTATAAGAAAGAGCATATGGAAGTGGAAAGGGTGGCTTCTCCATGAGAGCTGGAATCCCAAAAATCAAGGCACGTTAGATACACTACACAGAGGACAGGCCAAGAAGAGATGAGGACATCCATTAGCCCCTACTTCAGTTTGTGCGGGAGATCCACACAATCGTTGTGTTTCTCCCTTCTCATCAGGTATGTGGTATGAATGTAATTCTTGTCCTCTGGGGACAGAGTTATGTGATTTATTTTGCCTAATGTTTTGGGAGTAGAAGTGAGATTTAGTTACCAGTGGGAGCCCACCTGGAACTCACTCTCCTGTCTGGCACAGAATTTTCCATATGCCTTACAAGAGAATTAGGGAAAGAATCAGTGAAAATATGTCAATAGAATCTTCAAAACATTAAATACAAAGAAATAAAATAATTTTTAAAGAGGGAACAGGACACTCAAGAACTGTGGGGCAATTACAAACAATATAACATTCACATAATGGGAATACAAAAAAGAGAAGGAAAAAATTATATGAATTTTTCAAAATTAACAACAGACACAAGCCTTTAGATCCACAAGACTAAAAAAAACACCTATCAGGATAAATGACAGAGAATTTACACCTAAGCCTGTGAGAGAGAGAGAGAGAGAGAGAGAGAGAGAGAGAGAGAGAGAGGGAGGATGCATATGAATTTTGGAAAAAGCCAGTGGCACAGGGGTTACATACAGGAAACAGAATAAGAATTAGATCAAAATTGTTATTCAGAAATTGTGCAAAGAAGAAAAGAGTGGACTGTAAGATTTAAAATACTGAAAGAATAAAACACTATCCTAGAATTCTGCATTCAATGAACAAGTCTCTGCCCACAAATTTGATAACCTAGATGAAATAGCCCAATATATTGGAAGACACAATTTCTCAAAACTCACACTTATAATAGACTACCAGAGCAGTTAAAGAAATTGATTCAATAACTAATAACTTCCCTTTGAAAAGCTCTAAGTCCATAAAGTTTTGGTGGGAATTCTATCAAGCATTTAAAATAGAAATATAGCACTTCACTATGATCTGTCCTATTAAACAGAGTGGAGAGGACAATTGATTTCTAAGTCATTCACAAGCCAGAAATTCACCAAGTCTAAAACTAGACACAGATATTACAGGGCAGAAAAACCATAGACCAATTGTTTTCATGACTGTGTGTTCAGAAACCTTCAACACACTATTAGCAAGTAGAACCCAACAATATATGCATGGACTGAATTATACACTATCGCCCAGTGGGGTTTGCAAATTGAGCATCCAAGACTATTTAAACATTGAAAATCAAATCGGTATAATGTATTACATCTACTGGTCAAAGGAGAAAAATCAATGATCATATCAATAGATGCAGAAAATGAATTTGAAAAAATCCAAACTTCATTTAAAAACTTCTCAGCAAAAGGAATAAAGGGGGCTTCTTCAACTTGAGAAAGAGCATCTATAGAAAAGTAATAACTAACATTATACTTGAATGCCGAAAAACAATATTTTTGTT